TGGGTGGACTTTAGTAGTTTGTTTTTTTTTGAGAATTAACTGATCCATTTCAATTAAGTTAATAAAGTCATTGGAATAATATTCTTTTTGGGGGGTTCAGTCGTGGGGCTTGAACTCTGGGCCTGGGCGCTGTCCCTCAGCTCTTCAGCTCAAGGCTAGTGCTCTACCACTTGAGCCACAGCGCCACTTCTGGTTTTTTTTTTTCTGTTTATATGGTGCTGAGGAATCGAACCCATGCATGCAAGGCAAGCGCTCTACCACTGAGCTACCTTCCCAGCCCTGGAATAATATTTTTAAAAGATACATGATACTCATAAATTGAATTAAAACACTTTTGTAGAATACCTAAAGATAATAGAAAATAAAATTGAATTTAAATAAAAAAATAAAATAAAAATGTAGAAATAAATGTCCTAAGGAGGAAATTACTCTTAGCTACCACAAGGCAATAGGTCTGTTACATTTGAAACTCTTAAGCAACTCAACTCAACATGTTCTTGGGTCTATTAATGATTCTGTTTGCTAGACACTTTCTCTGCCACTCCTTTCCCAGAGAAATGAATTCTGTATTTCACCTTTTACATAGAGTTGCTCACTTCCAAATCTATACAATTAATGGAATCTAGGTCATATGCCTGTGCACTAGTTCCAAAGGAGGCAAAAGCACAAAATTTTATGGGTTCTTTCTATGCTAGTAACTAGAAATTCCCAAAAGATAATAAATGTAGTTAAGAGCAGCTAGAGAGCCAGAAAACACCATAGTGTGTAATCCATTTTTTAAAAAGTCTAATAATATCTCAGTGAGAACTCAATTTTTCATTTTCTCAGCAGAAGAATACACATGGACATCTTTCCTTTTAGACTCAGGGCAGAGACCAAAACAGTATAATTTAATGTAAGAAAGCTTTTTCCCAGAGTACCCATTGCTCTTAAAACACTGAGAGAAGGTGGGCCTAAAAATACCACTATAAACAGTATAGAAATGCCCAAAGAAATGTACCAGGAATAGAACTTGAGTATGAAGAAGCAAGAGCAGGCACATATGTTCTTCTTCTGAATTGGATTCTTATCCCCACTATTGAAAAGGTATAGCTTGCTCCATTATTTCCCGACACTGGCATTGCTCTGGTGTCCAATTCTTGAAAGCATCCATGCCCAAAGCCTTACACTCTGAAAGCAAGATGCAGTGGAACGAAAAAGATGAAACAGGGGCTGGGAAGGTGGCTCAGCGGTAGAACGCTTGCCTCACGTGCATGAGGCCCTGGGTTCAATTCTTCAGCACCACATAAGCAGAAAAAGCCGGAAGTGGTGCTGTGGTTCAAGTGACGAGTGCTAGCCATCTGAAGAACTGAGGGACAGCGCCCAGGCCCAGAGTTCAGGCCCCACAACCAGACCCCCCCCCCACACAACCAACAAAAAAAAAAAAAAAAGATGAAACAAAACAAAAAGGCTAAACACATTCTTCCAATAATATTTAGTTGTTATATGTATCAGAATCAGGTATAGACAGTGAAACACAGACCATAAGATGGGCTATGGATACATAGTGCAATAACAGAGAGAGAGAGAGAAAGAGGGGGAAGGAGAGGGAGGTGGAGGAGGAGCAGTAGAAGGAGGAGGAAGAGGGAGAGAGGGAGAGGGAGAGAGGTTACAAGTCTAGAAGGTGGGTAAGGTTAGAGAGCAAAACCCAAAAGTTGTATATAGTCAAGATTCAGGGCACAGGCACCAAGTGTGCACCAGTAAATTGGTTATTAGGTATACAGCCCAATCAGCCCATGAGATGGACTCCAAACTTCGAAGATACATTAGAAAGCACACTCCTCAACTTAAAAAGACAACTCTGTCACAACCCATAATATAAAGACCAAATTTGGTTATAGGAATATATTAAATATGCATCTTATGTAAAATGAGTTGAACTCCCAATCTATAGGCTGACCATATAAATCTAAATCACAAATTAAAAATAGGAAAAGATGTTATTAATAGTTTTGCTATGGGGGGGCGGGCAATGGTGGGGGTGGAGATGGGAAGGGATAGGAAGGGAAAACAAAGGAGGAGGCAACAGTGCTTGATAAGAAATGTACTCATTATCTTGCCCATGTAATTGTAACTCCTCTGTATGGTATTTTCACAATAAAAAATGGTTTTGCTAGGACAGTATATATACAAACCAGGGCTGGTTTGGACAAATTAAGGTATATGATAACCCAAATTATAGATTACCTGGAGAATCCACAGGTAACATTCCCAGAAATACAATAGAAAAAGGAAAATAATGTGAAGTTGATACATCAAAAAATTGAGTTAGAAAAGATTGTTTTCTCTTTGCTTTGTTTTTAATATTGAAGAGATGAAGTAAAAAAAAACTGAAGTATACCAGAATACATTTAATTGTTAGTTTTTTTTTTAATTTTACTATGGTGAAATAACAGTAATAGACAACAGTGGTAAGCATGAAAACCCTCAATGGTAAGTTACTGTTGGTAATGGCAAAGTAAGAATGTAAGTCTTCCTTAGTAGTGGGGACCATGGCAGAATGTGGATCGTGTCAATGACAACTCATCTAACACTCTATGAGTCTCAGACACAGAGCAGGCTAGGTTATGATGATAATGATGTTATTCACAAGGTTTACAGAAGATCTGTCCATGGAAACAAAGTTGGAGGATGTGATTTGGGTCATTAGACAAGAATAAAAGGAAATCAGATATTCATCACCAGTCTGATTAACATAATGCTCAAGAGTTCTCTAATCATTCACAGATTCCCTTTCTAAGAGAAAGCTTTTGGTGGGAAATATTCTCTGATCCTAAATGCAACCAAAGAAGGAATGTCCCAAATATTTCCATTTCTAGTGAAATGGAAGATTATTTGATTTGGGCCCAAATTTCATAATTCTTAATGCTGCATTCAAGAAGTTGGCAGTCAGTTGGCAGTCAGTTAGAAAGATTAGAAAAAGAAAAAAAAACAAAAAGGCTAAATGGATTCTCCAACGATACAGTTATGTACATCAGAGCCAAGTATAGACAGTGAAACCATACAGATCTTTGAAAAGTGTTTCAAATGACTTGACACTCCACTTTGTCAATGCTATAGTGTTATTCCTCAGCTTACAAATTGACAGAATGTAATCCTAGCCCAGGCAAGCCAATTTCATTAAGATACTCTGAAAGACATGCTTCATTGTTGGATGTTTAGAGGGAACATGTGCTGGATGCTGTTCTATCTTCTACAATGAAGTCTTATACTCTCTTGATCCTGCTATCAACTCCTCAGTCCCCCTCCTGTACCACACAGATTCTCTTCAAAGACACAGAAGCAGAGATTTAAAGGATTAGAAATCTAATACCTAAGTGTAAGTGTCAGCTAGGCTTAATGTTAATGAAATCATGGTCTAAAACATAGAGTTTGACATTGCTATGAAGGAAAAAAGAATGTCAGAACAAAATGGGGGTAAAAGGTTGAGAAGGTTTTTGAACCTAGAAGAAATTTCCGTCTTTCCCATAACCCATAAAGCTCTTCCTTTCTTTCCCTTTTTGCTTGCTAACATTTAATCACTAAGAAACATATTCTACATTTTATTTATGTTGTATTGTTTTTATCCAAGATGTCAGGGTTCTGTTCTATAAATATATAAACTCTCAATGCCTAGAATGCTTGACTAGCATGTGACATATATTCTATGATACATATTGAATTAATGAATAATGGAAGATTTCCTTCCTCATGTACAGCATACAGTGTAGTTTGCCCTTAACTATAAAACAATCAATGGAGAAAAGAAGTTCTCCAGGATGGTCTTCTTTCCCTCCTCTATCTAGCTTCTAGACTGCACAGTGACTCTTTCTTGAAAGAAAGCAATTTGAATCAAATGTAAAATCTTGATGCTTTATGTTCACCTAAGGGAAAGAGGAGATGGTATGAATTAACTCCCATCTTGGTCTTAAAAACAACATCTAGGCTAACATCACAGAAAGAAAATCTGATACTAAAACTGTGTCATATTTTTCTGTAATGTAACCTCATCTCAGTTTTGCTATTTCTATTTCTCTTTATCACAGCAAATCTTTCAGAGGGACAAAAACCTGAAAAAAATTCAAAAATGGTAATTATTTACTAACCCAAGGTAAGAATCTGAAGAAATATTGGAAATAAAGAACTCAAAAAGGAAATGAGAGGAAATGGCATGTTAGAACACGAGAGCTTCTGAATGAAGAAAAATCTTCTAGGAACTTTCCAAAGATGAGAATTGGCTCACTCCTCTAATCCTAGCTTCATAGGAGACTGAGATCTAAAAATCAAAGTTCAAAATGAGACTAGGCAGTAAAATCCATTAGACTCTTATCTCCAGTTAACCACCAAACAGCAAGAAGTGAACCTGTGGTTCAAATGGTAAACAGAGCACCACCCTTGAGTAAAAACAAAACAAACAAACAAACAAGAAAAACACTCAAGCCCTGAGTTCAGGCCTCAGAATCAGCACGAAGGAAAGAAAGAAAGAAAGAAAGAAAGAAAGAAAGAAAGAAAGAAAGAAAGAAAGAAAGAAAGAAAGAAAGAAAGAAAGAAAGAAAGGAAGGAAAGAAAGAAAGAAAGAAAGAAAGAAAGAAAGAAAGAAAGAAAGAAAGGAAGGAAAGAAAGAAAGAAAGAAAGAAAGAAAGAAAGGAAGGAAGGAAGGAAGGAAGGAAGGAAGGAAGGAAGGAAGGAAGAAAGAAAGAAAGGAAGGAAGAAAGGAAGAAAGAGAAAGAAAGGAAGAAAGAAAGAGAAAGAAAGGAAGAAAGAAAGGAAGAAAAAATAGAAAAAGGCTTAGTCACAGATAGTAGTGACAGTAGTTAGTAATTCCTGAACTTCTCATTCATTGCCTTGACATAAGAAAGAACTTAAACAATTTAAGAGTGATAAATCATTACACAGACACATTATCATTCTGATGATGTCAATGATGTATTTTCTTTGTGAATCTTGCCTATAATAAGCTTAGCCCTTAATGGTCACATTACCTTAGCTGATGTTTCAAACCATCCTACGAAGCCATGCTCCTTGCAGAACTGGTCCATCTTGAGGCCATTGTTTATAAGCACATCCTTGCCCTGGTCACATTTGTTAGCCAGTAAAACCACTGAAACTGGTTTGCCATTAGGCAGAGTTAATTTCGAGTCCAAATCATTTTTCCACTTTACCACTGCTTCAAATGTGGCTGGCCTGGTGACATCGAAGACAATAAACGCGCCCATAGCCTCTCGGTAATAGACTCTTGTCATGTTTCCGAACCTTTCTTGACCTAGAACCAAAAATAAATAAATAAAAACGTATTAAAATCAGAGACTGATTTATATATTGTAACTTCATGAAGCCACCAGGATAAGCAGGTCACTTAGAAAAGAGTTTCATTGCTAATCTATAAAGAGTAATTTAAATATACAATCCCATAGACTTTCTCTTCTTCTTTGGGTCCAGAAGTAAATTCTTTCATTTAACAAACATGTACTGATAAAGTACTGTGTGCCATATAATTTATTAATAATGCACTAATACTGTATCCCACTATTCATTTGAGGCTATTTCCATCTTAATTAATTGAAATGAAATAAAATTTTGAATTCAATTTCTGGACCACACTAGCTACCTGCATGGCATATGGTTAGTCACAGGTGGCTCATGGCTACTGTATCAGATAACACAATGTTAGTCTCTACTTAAGAACTGAGACCACCTCACTCACTCTTGTACTAGAGTTCAGAGAGGATATCATATTGAGCAGTGTTCTTCAAACCTGGGATACAGTGATTAAAAATGAAAATCTTTTAAAATATTAACATATGCAAATATAAAGATCCAAAAAGAGAGAATGGAATTAACACACATAAAGCACACAATACCTTAGAACTGCTCAAAATTTAAGTTTTCATTTTGTTTTATTCATGGTACCAAAATATAGTAGAAATAAAATCTAGGTTGTGAAATTAGAGGTTCAGACTATGGTTTATAACAAAAAAATTTTAAGAATTTCAGCTGAGTATCAAAAGTAAATTAAAAAATTGGGCACCAGCAGCTTATGCTTATAACTCTAGCTACTTGGGATGCTGAGACTGGAGCCAAATCCAAGCAAAAAAAGAGCATGAGACTCCATTTTCAAAATAACCAGAAGAAGCATAGCTGGTTGTGCAACTCAAATGGTAAAGAACAATTCTAGTAAATGTGAGATCCTGAGTTCAAATCTTAGCACTGGCAAAAATAAAAATAAAAAGAATCCTATTACTTCCAGCTCTACTAGTGACCACCAATGACAGAAACTAATTAAGATTAGATATATATTTCCAGAACCCAAACTCTAGTAGCATGTAACCATAAGTTTTTAATTCTTATTTGGATGTTTATTAATATTAAAGGTTTTTTCCAATTATATAAATTAAAACAAAGTTTTACTTTATTTCTTGGAAAGAAAAAATGTGGAGCCTAGGGTGCACATTAGAAAATATAAGTTCATATAGCCTCTAAGAAAAATGTATCAAAATTTTAAGAACAAATTTTGATGGCTGGTAAATTTTAATATAAATTACCACACAGTTTTTTATTGATTGTGCATTACACTGAGATCAAAGAAATGCAGAGTCCCTGAACAATTAGTGAAAATGTCTGAATAGCTACAGCTAGTATTGGTGGTTTTAAACATGTGTCACTGAAAAGAAGAGAGTTTTACCAGCCAGCACAATTCTAAAACATTTCTTACATAGGTTATGCCACAAAAACATTTTTAAAAAATCTCATACTCATCTAGTCAGTGATAGAAGGTGGTAAAAAAGAAAACTCTCCACATGACTTATAACCCACATATAAACTTTCATTTTCCCATAGGGAGTTTTAATTCTTTTTCTTTTGTTAGTGTCTGATGAAAAAGTGGTCCCCTTTGATACTGTCCTGGGTGGGCCATGACATTTGAGGAAGCTCAGGGAAGAAAGCCCTCTGTGATCATTCAGAACTCCAAAGGCCTCCAGCTTCTTAAAAGATGTCTTGTGATCTCTGTTAGCAATCTAATCAGATAAAGGGCAGAGTCATGGGTTATTCAGTAATCTGCTTGTCCAGAGGTTTTCAGAGTAGAGTAGGCAGTTTTTAAGAATAAAGATTTTACATTTTACTACTAGCAAAGCGTCATTTTAAGATGGCAGAAAAAGCAACTGAGTCTTTCCATAGCGATTCTAGAGGAAAATGTGTGCATGTGCATGAGATTGCAAGTATATGTGTATCAGGTCTGATACAAAAGGACAGGACTGCTGATTTCTAGAAAGAAAAGACCTTTGTAAAGGGAGGTCACTGGGCCAGCCCACTTGGACAGTTTATATTTGTGGCATTCCAGCCAGGGGTCACATTCAGATCAGAGTATTTCTAGCACTCACATTATATCCTTCCTTAGTCAGCTGACAGCCCTCTCTGCTGGTTCTTATTAAAAGAGTACAAACCATGTGACTCTTAGTAAGTGCCTACACTTGGGCAGAATGAGACCTGTACAATTCATCCTAGGCAAATTTATTTTCAAGAGGAACACCTTTTGGCATGATATTACATATTCAACACATTTTTATTGAGGCCAGGCTCTGTGCTTTATGTGGAAATATGTAGGAGTTTTATTCAGAAGGAACCTGGAAATTAATGCTGAAAACAGCCAGTTCACCACAGTGTACTTCTCTTTGTTTCTAAACACACCCACGCAGTGTGGATATGGTTCTGGGTTCAGTGTCTAGCTTTGATAGGTGTTAGTGTCAAAGCAATCAACTGAATCATGGAAGACAATCCAATGGCTGCCAGAACCACCTGGATAAGCTCATGGCCAAGACCTGGACACAAGGGTTTTTTCTTCATTGTTGTTTTTAATATACTATGTGGTTTCTTGTTAGTTTTGTATGTTCTTCCCCCTAATGGTATATTCCCTGTAGGCACTATATTTGATTTTGGTACCCTGGTATTTTATATACATTTATCTGAATTAGAGAAAGGAAGGGGAACAACAGAATGGTGAGACAAAGGACAAAAAGGGAACCAATGCAACAGAGATACTCACAAGACAATGTGTTGGAAATGAACTTTAAACTTGGGGGGAGAGGGTTGCGGGGAGGGAAAGTAGGAGACAAATGAGGGAGAGGGTAACAAGTTTGACAAGAAATGCCCTTATTACTTTTATGTAACTGTAACCCCTCTGTATACCACCTTGACAATAAAACAAAAAAAAAAAAACAAAAAAAGGAAGGAAGTCACTAATTTGGATCATGTCACAAATAGAATGAATGCAAATAAAAGAACACCTAACCATACCAGTTAAAAAAAGAAGAAGAAAGCACAAGCCTGATGAGTTAGAAGACCAGGGATCTTAATTATAAGCAAGACTGGAACAAATCAGAACAGCCTTAAGACAATGTGCCTCTATCCCTGAGTCTGTTTTCTTATGTGTTAAATAAAGTTGATGTGACTGATGTCTAAGGCCTCTTGTTGTATTAAATTGAACCACAACCCTCTTTCCCAACAGCCTGAAATGGTCCACTTAGTATTAAAGCCCGAGCTGAAAGCACACAACACATCATTGCCATAATATGCACTTAACAACATTTTCAGTTCATAATTACTACTCTGTAGATGTTCTCAGTAAGAACAACCAAGCAGTGAATCTTCTCCACATGCACCAGACCAATGGCAAGAAACAAAATATGCTATGAGCCTTGACACTTTCTTTTACCACTCTGACCCGAACCAGCTAGCATTGGATGTCACCATGCTGAGCCACAGTTTCCATGAGTGAAATAAAGGAGCTGGAAGGGGTCTCCTAAATCAATCCATCATGCATCAGGGAACCCCCTCTTCTACAAGCAGGCATTCTGTTCCCCACCACTCACTTCTTTTTTTTAAATATGTATTTTTACTGTAAAGATACTGTACAGAGGGGTTACAGTTACTTGAGCAAGGTAATGAGTTCATTTCCTATTGAGCATTGCTACACCTTCCTTTATATTTCCCCTACTGTACCTTTCCTCCCGCCCTCCCCAATTCCTCCCGCCCCTCTTCCACCACCACCCCCTCACCCTGCAGCATACTGTCTTGTACATCTCATTGTTACAATGGATCATCCTGTGTCTTTATTTCAGCATTTTGTTATTTCCCATCCCCTCCCCAAATTAGAAAAATACATATACAAGATACAGGGCACCAGACTCAAATACAGTGACAACAGGGATTGTACCATGGAGGAAGAACATACAAAAGAAACAAAAAAGCACATAGTATATTGTAAGTACATTAAGAAGTAAAGCAAGAAAGATAAAACCTCTTGTGTCCCTATCTTGGGGTTCATTCCACTTAGCATCAGGTTGCATGGTCATATGTACATAGCTTTTGACCTCTTCTGTTTGTCCTAGACATATACTAGTTATTGCAGATAAGGGTAACCATGGAATCTATGTTTCTTTGGGCTTGGCTTACTTCACTTAATATAATTTTTTCCACGTCTTTCCATTTCCTAACAAATAGGGTAGTATCATTCTTTCTGATGGAGGCATAGAATTCATATGTGTGTGTGTGTGTTTGTGTGTGTGTGTGTGTGTGTGTAGCATCTACTGAGGGGCATCTGGGTTAGTCCTGCAACAGACACATCTTGCCCACAAAAACAAACATTCTGAAAGTGAAAGCCTAGAATAAAATCTACCAAGCAAACGGCCCCCATAAACAGGTAGGAGTTGCAATCCTAATATTAGAGAAAATAGACTTCAAATTAAAATTAGTGAGAAGAGATAAAGGTCATTACATACTAATTAAGGGATCTCTCCTTCAGGAGGGTATTATAGTTCTAAATATGTATTCACCAAATAATGGAGCACCCAAATTTTATCCAAGAAACATTACTTTCCCTAAAATCACACATAGCTCCAAAGACATTATTTGTTGGGGACTTTAACACACCACTATCCCCTCTGGATAGGTCAACCCAGCAAAAACTCAACAGAGAAACCTCAGACTTAAACAACTGTATAGATCCACTAGACTTAACAGACATCTACTGAATACTTCATCCAGCAGCATCAGAATACATGTTCTTCTCAGCAGCACATGGAACATTTTCCAAAATAGACTACATTTTAGGTCACAAAGCAAATTTGTCCAAATTCAGAAACATTTAAATTATGTCCTGCATTCTCTCAGAACACAAGGGAATAAAATTAAAATTCAACACCACTCACTTCTCCTTTGTCCCACAGTCTAGTTCAGGATAGCATCAACACTATCATCCACAATGGTACC